GTTCAACCAGATGGTCCAATTCCGCTTTCAGAAGCAGAGAAATTTTTGCTAACCGTTCACGGCTCGATTTTGTGTCCTCTGACACTTTGGCTGCTTTCGCCAACCTCTGCATTTCCTCCTCTCTTTGATTATCATCAAGGTTTTCTAATTGCTCTAATTGTGTACCAATAATTGAATTTGTTAAAATATATAAAGCCGACTGGACGGCATCTCCGGATTGCAAGGTGTCAGTGTTTACCTCTTCGTCCACCATTATCTGCTATTTAAAAATTAAATAGGAGATGTAAATGTTTAGGTGGTAAAATAAAATCAGAAGAGTTTCTCTCTACTGATGTATTTACTCTTATTTAGTGATTTATCAATTAAACGTGCGTTATCTTTTTAGCAAGTGAGTAAACTTTTTCCAACTTTGTGAATATCTGTAACTGTTTCTATTTTTAAAAAGTTTGCTTTAATTTTTATTTTGTACCTTTTTCTTAAGGAATTATCAGTGAATAAAAATGTGTTCGGTAAATGCTCTTTGCATAAATACCTTTATAACTTTTAAAATGCAAGATAACAGTGATTATTCAGCTTTGAGGAACGTTTATTAACTCAAAAATGCCTTACAGAAAAATAAAAACGTTTAATTTCACTCTTTAAACCTAAAAAGCGAAGTGAAAACCTGTTATCTCACGTTTATCCAGAAGGTGTCAGTACAACCTTATTAATTTTAACTCAGACACTGTTAGTGTTGTCCAGTAGGGGAGCTATAACTTCTTGTGGCGTCCGGTCGTTAGCTGTTAGCTAAAAATTAGCATCGGCTAGACTCGGTTAAAACCAACATTTCTGAACGGATTTTTTACACAAGCGTGGCAAAATTTTAGCAATTAGACTTCGAAGAACTTAAACAGCGTTTCAGAACATAGCTTTAAAGCGCTATCCAGCTTTAAAAAGCAGATTTTATTCCCTATGAAAACGAGTTTCCATTTCCGGGTCACGTGACTGAAATCACCAATGACAAAGCAGCACAGGGGTGAGAGGAAGTGACGTAGGCACGTCAGTCAATTTCTCAGCAAATCAGAGCGCTCCACAACAGAAAATCAACCAACCACGAAGCGTTAGTAGCAACCAGCATGTTAGATTAGCCTGAAACCAGTTCGTCAACTTATCGTCTTTTAAACTGTCAAAATGCACTTTTTCTGTTAAAAACTGTAACGAATCAATTCTGAGTTGCACGGAGTCTGCTGCTCCGGTCTCAAAAACGTCTTTCTAGCTATTTAAACAACTCGTCCGAACCTTTTTCAGAACCGAGCCGGTCCAGAACCGCGTCTGGACCGTCTTTAAACAGAATAGAGCGTTTCCACAACCCAGCTTTTAGTTACCATAACAGGCGTACAATTTCAGCTTTCCCAAGACTTATGACACTATTTCAGCTTTCATAACATCGCCAGCGTAATACAGCGTAAACATGCAGAGCCAAGCTCCAAGCGCGCAGCTCCAGCACGCTGCGTAAACATGCAATGTTTTGACTGCTACTTTCCACATGCCAACATGTAAAATCAACCTTTACACGAATACGCAGTCCATATATGAGCACGTGACGGGCCACCAGAATGTAGATGAACAGATGCTCAGATATATTCATCAATTAACACGGATTCCTCATTTTTCTGGACTGAATAAAACGTGCATTGAATTTAATGAAATGCAAACGTGAGACGTCATTTATCTTTGACCCATCAAAATGAATGCGGTCATTTATTTACAGAATCAAAGTTTAACACCGAACATTTACATTAATTTGGCAAATTATGAAAATAACAACATAAGCAATCAATCAGGAAAAATCATACGGCCATGATTTTTCCGTTGCTTCACCACAGACATTTATGAAAACTGTACAATTATGATCTTTTACCCACACGGCGGTGGATGAGCACTTTACACAGACATTTCTAAATATCTGGAAGAATTTCTACTTGAGAGAGGAGTTTAAAGATGGGAAAGAAGTTTAAAGAAGAGTAAAAGATGGGGTTTGAGGGAGTGTTGAACAGAACGGCACTCTCCGGGCTTTCTTCAGCTTCTTCCTTACAGTACACTTAGGTGGTGAAATCGACTCTTTTACCTGGAGATGTCTCAGGCGAGATTCCGTTTAACGCACCCTTTCAGCGTCTCCGTAGGATGCTGTTACTCGTCCGGAGTAGCGGCGAGATTCTGTCCGCCACAGTTCACCTCAGTGAAGATGTTATAATCCCATGAAACTCGGAAGAGCTCTGTTGTCATGTCAGGATCTTCCCGGCTCACAGAACTGAACAGAGACCCAACTCCCACAGAACTGAACTCTCACAGCCCTCACAGAACTGACAGAACATCACAGAACTGAGTAGACCAGGAAATACCGACATTTTAAAGAGCTCTTTTCCCGGTTCATTCGGGAGTCTCCCCATTGGCCAGAACCGACCAGACGGGGTGTGTTTTGTGACGTAAAAGGTTAGAAGGCAGCAAGAATTGTTATGGAACAGATCAGAGATGTTCTCACAGACAGAGAGAGTTTTGTTTTGGCGAGTTTAAGAAACAGGTGCCAAAACCCCCCTGTTGACGTCTGAGAGGATATAAACAGGACAGTTGTTCCAACGCATGTCTGCTTCGACTCCTGACCCTGGAACGCACACTTTGCTCATTCACAGACAGAAATCAGAAAATGCATAATTACTCTGTAACAGCTTTAACATGAGTTCTAACTTTGCATGAGAATTAAAAATCATTACACAGTTAATAAAATTGATTAGTTCACTGCAACATCTAAAATGGTTTGAACTAAGGCACTTTGATTATCAACATTTGTAAAATAGTAATGATAATAGAACAGAGAGTGTTCTTCCACTTGAATTTTCAAGAAAGAAAGTCTCAGGATGGGTGAACCTGTATTTCTGGATTCAAATCAATGAAATGACAGTTCCTGTCCCACAAGGTTCTTAAGGTCAAGAGTTTTGACCTTTGGCTTAGTCTTGACCTCAGATTAAGTTCACTACACATACAATATTGTTACAATCACAAGTACTCAGGGCATACCCTGGGGTGCTCAGAGACCGTTCCTCCTATGTCTCTGAGTTTTCTTCGTGAAGTGTGAGACTCTAAGATGTCGTGTTTTTGTCGTATCTAGGTGTCTGTACTAAATGTGGCTATTCCAGCACCCGGTGACCCACTCAAACAAAGTCCGTCAGGGCCCGCACGCAACTATACCAGGCTGCTTTGGTCTACCTCGACATGAATGTCCAGTTTTACGACTTTAGATGGTTTCTGCCAGCTCCCTCGCTCTTCCTGGCTCTGAGGCAGGCGCACACTGGCTCCAGTGGTACCAAACGTCCCCCTTTCCTCTGAGGTGGACTGCGTGGGACGTTCGCTCTGTAACCTGATATGGGCCCGTCCATCTGGGCTCCTGCCACTTCCTTTTAATGACCCTCAACAAGACCCACTCCACGGTGGGGAGACCAGGTTCCTCTGGTCTTTCTGTTAGGCTCTGTTTGTGGTGGACCTGCTGAGTAAAGTTAGACACTAATGCTTTTAACTCATCAAAGTATACCTTATGGTCCATTTTACGGTCCTCCTCACTGGTCAGTGAGCATACGGTTGGTCCCGGAAAGGGTTTACCTGTATTTAACTCATAGGGAGAAAAGCCAGTTCCATTATTAACAGAAGTTCTCACGGTCATTAATACGATAGGTAATACTTCCACCCAGTTTAATTTAGTCTGTGCACAGATTTTGCCCAATTTTTGTTTTATGTTCTGGTTCATCCTTTCGACCTTCCCTTGAGACTGGGGATGGTACACGGTTCCAAAAGCATGTTTTAGGCCTAACATTTTTTCCACAGCCTGCAGATCTGTGTTTTTAAAATGTGTGCCATTGTCTGATCTGATTTTTGTTGGGAAACCGTGTCTGGGGATGTAATGGTTAATCAGAAACTTCACCACTGTTTTGCTGTCTTCTCTTCTTGCAGGTATGGCTTCTGGCCACCCTGTAAATGCGTTAACACACATCAATACATATCTGAACCCTTTAACAGGTTCCAACATATCAGTGTAATCTAGAATCACCTCCTATCCCGGTCGGTGCAGGAAAGGAAAAGAACCTCGTTCAGGTTTTACTGTAGGTCGAATGTTGTACTTTAAACAAACAGTACAGGTGTCAACATATGCTGTTACCATATTTTTTAGATGAGGGTGTCACCATTGTTAAAGATTTCTTACCATTGTCTGCATCCCACGTGTGCTAATCCATGTGCTTCCTGAAATACTGCCTGTTTTAAAGTCATAGGCAAGATCCACTTCTGATTCGGTCCTATCCATACTTTAAACTCCCCTTTTTCTGACCTCCTCTGTTAAACCATAATGTCTTTTCCTCTGGGGAGGCTATAGTCTGAGCCTCTGCTACAGTTTTCTCATCCCACTGACTCACTTTCTGACATTCCTCTTCCACTGTCACCATCTGGACTCTTGGCAAATAGCCAGCAGCTATCTTGGCTGCTCTGTCAGCTTGCCTGTTTCCTTCCGCTGTGTCTGATTGTGTAACATCATGACCTTTGCACTTCACAACCGCCACTTTTGCTGGCCACATCAAACTGTCAGCTAAATCCTTAATGAGTTCCTCATGTTTAATTGGTTTGTTACCTGCCGTTCGAAAACCTGCTCTTTTCCACTGTGGTAATTGTACATGAACTACACCATAAGCATACGCCGAGTCTGTGTACACTGTAACCTCTTTTCCTTTGCTCATTTTCAAAGCCTCAACGACTGCCTGAATTTCAGCTTTTTGAGCTGACTGATGACCTTCTAGCTGCCCTGAGCTCAGTACCTCGTACTCATCTCCATTCTGCTGTACCACAGCAAATCCTGATCTCAAAGACCCATCCTCAAACCTGAAGCAGCAACCATCTGTGTAAAGTACATTTGAATGTGGTATGAGTTCAGTCTGTAAATCAGGTCTAATGTGTTCCTCCACGTACACTTTTTGCACACAATCATGTGCCTGTGTTGTTTGCATACCATCTGCCATGTTTATGCCTTCATGCAGGAATAATAAATTCGGTTCTGATAGGATGTTGCTCATGCGTCTTTGCTTTAAGGATGTCATTGTAAAGAGCTCAGAATTAACATACGCTACTATGTTGTGTGTCGTTAGGATGTGTAGTGGGTGTCCCATGACGATGTGTGCTGTTTTTGAAACAATCCTTGCCAGACCTGCCGCTGCCTGTGTACATGCTGGATGACGCTTCTCAGTACCATCCAACATCACACTTGCGTACATCAACACCTGTCTACCACCCCCCTTTTTCTGAAACAGAACACCATTAACAGTGTTTTCTGCTTCAGAAACATCAAGAAAAAACGGGGCGGAGTAGTCAGGCAGAGCCAAATCAGCTGCTCTGGACAAGAGTTGCTTCAGCTTAATAAACACATGCTCTGCATCTGTGTTCCACACAAGTGTTGCTTTCAGGTTTCTGTTACCTTGATCTTTTACCATCTATCTGAGTGGAGTGGTGAGTTCACTATAATCAGGTATATAGTATCTGCTTGTACCATCTGTTTTAAAATGAGTCAATGTGAGTGATCATTATCAAAGCCAGCTGCAGTTTTTGATCACAACCCCCAAAATGCCTAGATGACCCTCACAGACCAAATGTGGGGTTGACACCTCCGTCAGGCTGCAGTTGATGTTAGTGACCCTGGACAGAGTGACCACCAGTTCTTCTTTCAGCCTTTCAGTCCCCAGACTCGTTACCGTCTGTCAGGAGACCAGTTCAGCTTTGTGTAGCAGTTCATATCTCAGCATACAGCAAGACTTGACTGGATGTTCTCACTGTGTACAAACTCCAGGACCTCCTCTGGACAGTTAGTTCAGTTCGCTCTTGGACTGTTAGATCTTTGAAAAATCACGTTACTTGGCTGAAAAGTTCTTTGTTGCTGTGTCAGTTGTGTTCGACTGACAACTTATTTGAACCGTCCCATTGGTCAGTTTCACAGACCCAACGTCAGCGCCCACCTGAACACACTTGTATCTGATCCGGCCCCCGGCACTCAAGAGTCCTGATCAAAACTCAGATGGATGCTGTATGCAGTTAAATGCTACCTTCTATGTTTTGTAGGCCTAATTAGACATCTTCCCACTGCAGAGAAGAAAAAATAATTAAATCATGGTTTCATTTTTGGTGTCACAAGGGGTTTTGTTTTAACTGGGATGGGTGACTCCCCCCTCAGCTGCGAGGGGGTGTCAGTAACCTCCCCCACCTGTAACGTCCCATCTGTTATGTGATATATAGGGTACATTCCTGTGGGGGGATGTGCTGACTGATTGCCGCTTGAGTTATTAGGAGGGGGGCTGAACTACCCACTTCCTCCCTCTTTGTTCTAGGCTGTTCGATAAGCTGCTGTTTCTTCAACAAATGAGATGAACCCTGTGCCACAAAGACCAATTTCAACCACTCTTTTCTTTCATATTTAACTTCCCTCATTAACTTTCTGTATCTACGTTTCTGCAAGGCGTTTGCCTCTCTCTTTTCCCACAATTTCAACTTGCTCCTTTACTGGTTTAAAACTTTCCTGCTCGCACTTTTGTAACATGACACACTGCTGCCCCTGTGTCCATTCTCTCAGGAACTTCAAACAAACAGCACACCTCTTTCTTTTTATTGTCACTGGAAAATTCTGGAACTTTTTTATTTTTTCTTCTTCTACACATTCATACTGTGGTCTTATATTTGACAAAGACACAAACACAAAATAAACAAACAAGATACTGACCACTTATTTCAACATTCACGCGAAACACAGACGCCAGAAATATTCACAATGGTCACCCTTGAAAATGTTGTTGTTGTTTTTTTTAAAACAAAATGTGTTGACTTCCCTTTTAATATCCTAGAAGACAGCAATATTTGTGGACCTGTGACTTCTCTACTCACCACGGATCATAAGTTATTTTATTCAATAAATCTAATTATTAGTTCTGATTTTATTTTAATCTATTCGGTGCGTGCATCGTATTTAATTAATTAATGTCCCACCCAGCCTCGCGAACGCCCACCTACGGTCAATTGTGAGCGAACTTTAATTGATACTGTTTTAAAAGTTGACTGCCAATCCAACAAGTTTACAGTAAAACTTAGTCTAATGGAGTTACAGAGTTGAACAGCGGAATCATTTTCCTAGAACTTTCACTCCTCCCCCGGGAGTCCGTCGACCCCTGGTAGGCAGACTTAACGCGCAGTTTATCTCTGAGGCTGGTTTTATTTTATCTCACTTTTATCTTATTCTTACAGTCGACGTAAACTTCTCTATTTAAAACTATTTATTTGGGAGTCATACACACTGAGCAAAAATTTGCCTATAAAAAGCCCAATTTTACAGAGTTTGTAATAAACAGGTTCTGCTTACCTTTATTTATAGTGCGCGCAGATTCAGTGTGAAGGACTCGGTAACTTATTTCTCACATCTCGGCGGGACCTCCAATTTGTTGTGTTTTTCATCTTACTTCTCCACCCGAGTCTGTGTTACCGTTCAATCCTGCAGGAGTCAGACACGCACTCAGAATACGACCAACGCACCTTCAAGTTTATGAATATTTAATAAGCAAAGAAAAATCAGAAGTCATAGATTCACAAGCATAAACAATGGATTAGTTAAATGCAGTCATTATTTTAACATATTAAAAATTGGATGCATCCATCCTACACTGTACAATACAACCTTGTTAAGGAGGAATCTGCAAACGTCCGTCACTCTGCTCCATTTTGCTGCTGGCTGCTGGCTGCTGCTTCGTCCCTCCTCCGTCTGCTAACTACCTCGAGGAGGAAAACTGCACATTTCTTTGTTCCAAAAAATAGGGCGTTTCTTCACACAACAAAACTAACTTTTCAGCGCGCGTCCTGAGTCTGTTGTCATGGGATTGGCCAGTTTCAGACGAATCAGGAGTGTGAAACTTCGTGTTACATTATGTAAACAGGAAATAAAATCAATCTGTGGGAGCCTCTTCAAAGTAAAACAGGAAGTGGGTCAATTTCAAAATAAAATAAGAATTGGAATCTGATTCAACAAAAAACACAATCTTTATGTCACAACAATAGAAAGCTCGGTTAATTGCTGATTTATTTGTCCACAGAGACAGGACAGCATCGTTGGTGTGGGACCCTTGGATCTCTACACCTTTAACTACCAGTGGTAGGTAGTGTTTGGTGGACTCTGACTGCTCCAGCTCACAGAGGAGGCTGTCTTGTTGGGTCAGAGTTTGGACCACCGGGTGGTTCTCTTTGGTTTCACATGATGTCAGAGGAGTACTCACCGGGCTCGTGTCCTCGGCTAAGGAGTCCTTTGCGCCTTCCGCGGTACCTGCTGTTAGGCAGTTTGGGTTACACTCCGGAGGCAAATGTATTGGCAGTGGTTTGCTCACCTTTGCCCACATCGTTTGATCACCATAATCTATAATCGCGTCGAAGCGATTTATAAAATCCTGGCCAACCAAAAATGGGAATGAGTCAACACGAGACACGTGTACCGGGTGGTATAGTGTCATTCTGCCAACCTGCATGTGAACCATTGTTACAGCTGTCAGGGTTGTCCTCTTCTCTGAGAGACCCTGCATTTCTATAGCACATTCTGTGAGAGGTATTATCCTGTTAACACCGGCAGCGGCTGTCCTCAGCTCCTCGAACAGTTTA